TTCACTCTTTGCTTCTAAAAATGTCTCTGTTACGCCCTACAGGCACAATTTTGTAAGATTGCTGCTCCCCAAAATTGAAAGGTTAGTTGGGCCGCACTGCTTCCTCAAACCCATCTCTGGATGCTCAGCTGCCTGGGAGGCAGTTGTGTTTTCATGCCCTGATGTACCTCTCTTTGCCTCTGTGAATCTTCTCTGTGTTCACATGAACCCATCCAACGAGGCTGGAAGCCCACGGTGTTTCCAGTCTGCTGTATGGAGGGACGGGGGGTTGGCCCCACCGTCCTGGTCATCTTGGTGCTTGTAGCTCTGCAGAACCAGCTGCAGAATCACCCAATGGTGGCAAATGCTCCGTGCTCCCTCCCTCCGAGGGCTGTTTCTTTGATTTCCCCAGCAAGTGTTAGCGTTTCTCCGCTGATGGTGTGTGCATCCGTACAGCGTGCGAATGGTTCGAGTCTGGGGGCTGGGAGGGGATGGTGGGTGGTGGTGGCAGAGGTGCAGCCTCCTTGACCTCTCTCCAGCGGCTCCGTCCAGCCGCTGAGCACCAGATCCGCGACCAGCACCATTCCAGGGCCAGCTCTGCCCTCCCGGACCACCTGCATCCCGCTCCCAGTGCATCGCTGGAGCAGAGCACGGAGCTGCTGGGTCTGACCAGGAGCTGAGGTTGGTGAGACATTCCCAGTTCCACCTCTACAGGGGTTATTTAACCTTTGTGTGTTTGCGGTGGAAACGCCAGTCTCTTACAGATCCCTTTCCCAGATCCTCAAGGAGGTCTGCCGGCCCTGGGGTTCAGGGTTTTTGGGGTTCCAGCCTGTGTTTGCATCCCTTGTCCCGGGTCGTTGTAGCCACGTGGCATCAGCGTGGCATTTCTAAGCCCGGGGTTTGCCAGCAGCCCCTCGCAAAGCTCATCCCACGGCCGCCCACGCACGGCGTCCAGCTGGCTGGAGGAGCAGGGGGCTCCCCGGGGCTCCCCCCCCCCCCCCACGGCCCTTTCATCTGCTGCTTCGCAGATGTTGGGTTTGGCTCGTGTCTGACATGCAACAATTACAGCGCAACAGCCTAGAATTTTTTGGCAAAAATCACCTTTGGAGCAGCTGTCCTGAGTCAGCCTGGCGCGGGCGGGGGCGCCCCGGGGCCCCCCCCCCCCCCACAGGGTGCCTTTCATCTGCTGCTTCGCAGATGTTGGGTTTGGCTCGTGTCTGACATGCAACAATTACAGCGCAACAGCCTAGAATTTTTTGGCAAAAATCACCTTTGGAGCAGCTGTCCTGAGTCAGCCTGGCGCCTGGGTGGGAGCCCTGGGGCTGTCCCCGTTCCTTGCGGCGCTGCCCTGACGGTCTTGACATCTCCCGGGCCAGTGTGGGGAGAGGGTTTCCCTGGTCTAAATATGGCACAAGCATGTGTAACGGCGTGTTTCGTGTTTATCTGAGAACATACTGGCCGGAGGGAGCTGCAGGCTCCGGGATCTCTGCCCCCAGCAGCAAAGCCAGCAGCCGGTGAGCTTCCCCAGCTCCCTCCCCAGCAGTGGTGTTACGGTGGCACTGGTGAATCACAGAATCTTCTAGGTTGGAAGGGACCTCAAAGATCATCTTGTCCAACCGTCAACCTAACTTTGACAAAAATAGACACCCGCACAACAAACAAAAAGCCACACCATCACTAAACCATATCTCCCAGCACTACATCAACCCCTCTTTTGAACACCTCCAGGGATGGTGCCTCAACCACCTCCCTGGGCAGCCCATTCCAATGGCTGAGAACCCTTTCAGTGAAAAAACTTTTCCTAATATCCAGCCTGAACCTCCCCTGGCGTAACTTGAGGCCATTTCCTCTTGTCCCGTCGCCTGTGACTTGGGAGAAGAGACCGACCCCCATCTCTCTACACCCTCCTTTCAGGGTGTAAGGTCTCCCCTCAGCCTCCTCTTCTCCAGGCTGAACACCCCCAGCTCCCTCAGCCTCTCCTCATAAGACTTGTATGGTGCGTGAGCGATGGTGCGTGAGGGCTGGTCCTGCTCTTGCCAGGATCTTGGTTGCAATTGGGAATTTCTGATAGTATTTGGTGTTTATTAACCCATTTCTTTGGAGGGGGTGTCTTGGCGATGCTGGCACCGAGAGCGTCGCAGGTTTGGCACCGTCCCTGGGTGACAGAAGTACAGGATCTGGCCGTGGCACGTCCCAGGCAGCCACCACTTCTGCTCCAGCCTATTTCTAGGATTTTTCTATTTTAGACAAATGTCTGCTGGGAGCGCTCCTGGCCAGCGGGCACCACAGCCCTGTGTGCCTGTGCCACAGAGTGGTCCTGCGGCTCGGCCGCATCCTGCCTCTGCTGGAGCCAAGTGATCCTCGAGTCCTTGTTCAGAAAAGACCAGCTGGGCAGCTAAAGGGCAAAGCGAAGGTTTTGGGTTGCAGCATTTCCCTTGGGAGCCTGCTGGTGCCACCGGGGTATTCGTGTCTTTGCACCCCCGCTGCCCTGCAGACCCTCCCAGTTGCAATATCTTCATTTTTATTTTTTTTTTTCCCCAAACAGGGGCCAGGTGCTAGAAGAAAATGTCCTTTAAATCACTATTTTTTATTTCCCCCCCCGCAGAGGAACCAAAGCAGCGTGGGCTGTGCTGCTGGAGTGCATCCCGGGCGGCAGCGCGCCTGCGTGCTCGGCGGTGACGGGGACAAACCGGTGACAAAGCACCTCCTGCCATCGCCCCGTGCTTCCTGTGGCTTTTGTCTGGCTGGGGGCTGGGGAGTCCCGAGCCCTCCTCCTCCTCCTCCTCGCACTCAAGGCAATGTGAGGAGGCACGTCGCCTCTCCTCCCTGCGCCGGGGACAGCTTTGCCAGCACGTCCCCCTGCCCGGGGAGGGGGTCAGCCCCTTCTGCACGTGCAGGGAGCTCATTAGTGGGGTTTGATAAGCCAGCTGTAGCCCAGAGGTGCTGGAGATGCTCCTGGCCTTTATCGCAAGCAGAGAGTAGCTTTATTATCCATGTGTTTAATTCCTTAATTTCTCCGTGCACGCTGCTGGACCTTATCTGCACCAGTGTCCCAGGCTGGTGTCCCATGGGGCCAGCGCTCTGGGGCACTCTCCTGGTGCCTGCAGGAGTCAAAGCACCGCCTGACCCAGCACTGCTGCTAGTGACAGAATATTTTCCATGTGATTTAGTCCTTTTTTTTTTTTCTTTTTTTCCTTAGTGGTATGTAGGGATTTTTTCCACTTTTTTGGCCTTGTCGTTTTGGAATAGAGCTAATTTGGGATTTGCGGTGAGACCTTTGGTCCTCTGGGCCGGGTGGCTTTGCAAGGGGCACGGTGGCAGTGTGTTTCCAGCTGTGTGAGACCCTGGGTCCCCCTGTGCCCAGGGAGGAGCGTGTTGCTACTCTGCCCGTTGGCTATTATATATTTTTTTCCTGCTTGGACTATATTTGTGTGCATGGAAGCACGCTGTGCTCACAGGAACCGAGCAATTCCACCTGGCAGACCCCACCGTGCTCCGGTCTGACACTGCTCCCGCGGCTCCTGCCCTGTCACCAGAGGAGAAGGGATGATGTGCTGGTGTTTGGAGGAGCCCCTTTAGCCCAACCATGCTCCCCCAGACAAATCCCTTTGGAGGGAGGGAGAGAAAAGCAGGCAGCACCTCGTCAAATAACCGTGGGGTGAGGAGATGAGCTGAGAGCCATACTCCTGTTTGATGGAATGAGGATGAGGACTTAGCAATAAGTCCTTTGTAAATATTCATAACATTTTTGAATTAATAATAATCAAATAAATAAGAAATAAGCTTTGCAAAAGGCTTAATAAAAATAAAATACATGCCAAGGCTGGCGGCCACAGGGACCCCAGAATTGATCAACAGCAACCTCGGGGTGGGGAGGGCTCTTCGAAGTGTGTTTTCATAAAGCCTGTCTCTCTGTGCCTGGGATAGAGGAGCTTCACCTGTGTGGCTGATACCTCCAGGAGCTGGCAAGGACCAGGCTGAGCTTGTGCATGCTCTGCCTTGGGGATATTTGCTACATCTGCTGAGACGATGTGGAAAAGCTGGGGCTGGGTGGGAGCAGATTGCATCGCCCACCAGCACATCAGGGGCAGTTTGTCCTTCTCAGGGGCAGTTTGTCCTTCCCGGCGACAGATGGTCCTGCCCGATGCCAGGGGCAGAGGATGGTTCCTGATTTTTGTTATAAAGGTCTTATATCACTTCTCCTGGAGCCCTTTGCTAACCTGGAGCCGTCTTGCAGGGGAGAGGAGTGCCCAGTCTCTGCGGGAAGCCGAAGGGTCTGGGTTTGGCAGAATTGGAGCAGGATTGTGAAAGTTTCGTGGGTGTTGTCTGGCGCGACCCGTTTTGATGCAGATGCGTTGGGTTTTGGGTTTTTTGGCGAGACACAAGCCGGGGCCAGCAGCCTCCGTGCTGCGTCAGCTGGAACTCGAGGAGGGCACGTGTCGGTAGATGCTGAGGACTTTTCTGTGTCTGCGGAGCCAGCCGGTTCCCCGAAACGTGGCCACGAGGCATTCCCACCAGCAATCTGCATAGCGCCGTAATTACAGTGCTGCGGAGGAGCTGGGTAGCTCTGCCAGCCTTTCACAGCAGCGCCTGGGCAAGGGCTGTGCTGCTAAAAGCCTTCATCACTCACTAAATAAACTCCTGGACTTGCTCCGAGGACTTTGGTGGCACTGGATCCTGCTCCGTGGCAGCAGATCGGCTGCTGGTGGGACCCCGGTGTGCCTGCTCCCCCCGTGGCAGCATCCCTTTGCCGTGCTGGGCTCGGTGATGCCGGGAGGGATCAAGGTGAATCCAGTAAGAAGGGGAATCCCCAATTTGATATAATTACAGGCAGAGGAAGATCCCACATGTCTCTTTCTCTCTCGGCCTCCCAGTGCCCTGCTTGCCACTGTTAATAGCGGAGAGGCAGCACGTGATTTATTCCCGCTTCGGATGCAACAGGCAGCTCCTTTCATTCCTTGCCAGGAGCAGCATCCTGGTGCTGCCTGCCACCCCTGACCGCCCTCTCTTTGCCTCCCCAGGTCCAGAGGCAGTTCCCAGCCACGCACCCAGCATGACGGACGCTCCACGGGATGCCGGGCCCAAGCAGCCGGCGCCGATGCGGCCGGAGAAACCAGCTGCAGATTTTGGCTACGTGGGGATAGATGCCATCCTGGAGCAGATGAGACGGAAAGCCATGAAGCAGGGGTTCGAGTTCAACATCATGGTCGTGGGTGAGTTCTCTTCCTCACACCAGCTGCCCACAACGTGCTCGGCGAGTCCGTTTTTGTTCTTCTGCGACGATGTTTGTCCTCTCTGGAGCCTCCCCAGGAGCAGCAGCAGCAGCTTGGGCTCAGCACTGGGGTCTTTGCCTTAGGGGTCAGCAAACCCTGCTCCCCGAGAGCTGGCTTGAATTCAGCTGTCGTTAAAGCTGGGGGTGTGACGTGGCCCATGGTCTCGTGCATCTTCCCACGTCCAGGGTGCATTACCCATAGGCACGTCCTGGAGGGAACCCCCCAGGGAGTGTTGGGACTCCTGGAGCCTTGCAGTGAGCTCCCTTGACTCCTCTCCTGGGAGACCTGCACTGGTCTGAGCAGTCAGGGAGCATGTCATGGCTCAGGGGCATGCACCGCTGCTGGTAAACCAGAGCCCCAGTTTGGCTAAAATTCCTGATTAGGAGTTTTGTATTTGAGGGATGGTGCTGAGCAGCTCAGACAGCAGATGCCACCACAGTCCAAGTACCAGGGAAGAAATGCTGTGTGTGATTTCCTGGTGGGAATAAAGACCAGCAAGAGGGTTTGCGTAGCTCAGCTCAAATGGCTTCTGCTACTGGTGGCTCCTCCGGGGACCTGCAGTGCAGCACAGAGGAGACATGAGAGTGTCCCAAAAGGTGTCCACGTGCAGGGAGGGAGGGAGGGCTGGAAGGTTGTGTGGCCAAACCCTGCTGCCTGCAAACTCCTGTTCATTAGCTCTCTGAGGCTGCAGGGTGGATGGGACGAAGGAGTTCGTTTCATCTGGAGGCCACTGGCTGTACTGCTGCTGTGCTGTCTGCAGCCTCTGCTGTGGGGTCTGCACTCCTGCAGGGGGAAAAGGGAAAAGAAATGAGCCTTTTTTGCATTTTTCCAGCTATCGGTGTCTTGCCTGGTCTCATGGAGCACCTCGTGTGAGTTGGGCTGTGCTCCCTGGGGCAGAGCTGTGCGGGCAGCAGCTCTCCCTGCCTGGGTCTCCCAGGGGAGGTAGCGTGGTGGTGGGAGGTGGTGGTGGGGTATCACCATCTGGCTTTCTCCTGCGAGGAGCTGCACGGGGCTATGATGGACTTTGTGCAGGGATACACGTGGGGCAGGAGCCCCCACAGCCCTGGGAGTCTTCCTGAGAGAGACTGATCCAGAGTTTGCTAATTCTGTAAAAGGCATTAATGTGCTGTAGCTTCCCAGCAAGCTCTGCTGATGCTCTGCCTTTCCTATTTTGATATTTCCATACCCAAATTGCTCTACGGCGAGGGCTCCCTGGGCTGGGAGATCCCCGCAAACCCGGTCACTGCAGAACCACTTCTCCCAAGGTGTTTTAACAAACCCAGCTCCTTGCTGCCAGCCGAGCAGCACTCCCGGGGCAGAGGGGTCTCAGCACCGATCCTGAGAGGCTGCAAGTGGGATTGTGTGAGTTGAGCCCCTGTTTCCCTGCCAGGAGAGGCAGCACCTCTGCTTTCTGCTCTGCAGATGAGGAGGGATGTTGAGGAAAGGCTTTGCCTTGGCAGCGCTGTGTGTGGTATGAAAGCCCGTACTTACAGCGCGGCTGGAAAACATTGTTCTTCCCTTGGCAGGCTCTGGGCTGACTGTTTACAGGCTGGGGAATTCGTGGCAGCATAAACAAGTCGAGCTCTGGCCCTCCCAGAAGACGCGGGGAGGGATGCGGGAGGAGCAGCACCTCCTGGGGTACCCCTCGGGGAGGGGATGCTCTGCCGAGGCTGGGAGGCAGCAGCCAGCCCTCATCCTGCTGCACTTCTCCAGGGGATGGTCAGGCTCCTAAGGATTCGTTTGGCTCCTTTATTCCCATCCATTTATTCGACCTTGCATTGAAATCATTGCAATCCCTGTTTTTTTACAGGTGGGAGATGCCAGGAGGGAGGTGTCTTCTGCAGGGGAGGTGGGGATTGAGCAAGGGATCACTGCCCACTCTGTGTCCTTGTGATGGAGCTTTTTGAAAATCCTCTGCCCCTGTTTAAAAGGGTTTTGCCAGCCTCACTGAAGTTCTGAGAGGAGGCTTTGGGATGAGGTCAGCGTCGCCCCGTGTTGTCTAAGGCTGTGGAGATGAGAAAAAAAAGGTCTATGCTTGGGAAAAGAAAAAAAAAACAAAACCAAAGCACATCTTTTGTGTTCAGTTTTTGGTGCAGAGCGGCTGGGAGGAGAGGAGAGCTGGCTGGGCACAGTGAGGCTCTGCTGCTCTTCCCCCTCCTGATTTCAGCGCAGGGAAAGGTGCTGGGCTGCAGGTCAGGGGAGCAGGTCCATCCTGCACTCGGCCATCATGTCCCCGGGGTGCAGCCCATTTGGAGAGGCACATCCCACCCATGGCCGCTGAATCATAGAATCATAGAATGGTTTGGGTTGGAAGAGACCTTAAAGATCATCTGCTTCCAACCCCCTTGCCCTGGGCAGGGACACCTCCCACCAGACCAGGTTGCTCAAAGCCCCATCCAGCCTGGCCTTGAACCCCTCCAGGGATGGGGCATCCACGACCTCCCCGGGCAACCAGTTCCAGTGTCTCACCACCCTCACAGTGAAGAATTTCTTTCTAGTATCTAATCTAAATCTCCCCTCTTCCAGTTTAAAACTGTTACCCCTTGTCCTATCAGTACACTCCCTGACAAAGAGTCCCTCCCCAGCTCTCCTGTAGCTCCCTTCAGATATTGAAAGGCCACTATAAGGTCTCCCCAGAGCCTTCTCTTCTCCAGGCTGAACAACCCCAGCTCCCTCAGCCTGTCCTCACAGCAGAGGTGCTCCATCCCTCTGATCATCTGCATGGCCTTCTGCTGGACCTGTTCCAACAGAACCATGTCCTTCCTGTGTTGAGGGCTTCAAAGCTGGACACAGCGCTCCAGGTGGGGTCTCACGAGCGCAGAGTAGAGGGGCAGAATCACCTTTCTGGTGATTCTGATACCCTGGTTCTCTCCAGCTAGTCCAGCTCCTGGTTGGACAGGCAGGGACACAGAGAGCAACTGCCAGGAGTTCTATCAGCATGTCACACTGCTTTCCCCCTCTCCCCAAGCGCTCCGTTTCATGAAGGGTGGTGCAACGAGAGCAGCCCCAAACCAGTTTGGAGTTTGTGTTGTGTGTTTTCAAGGCAGCAGAAGACCAGGAGCACCAGACCCCAGCCTGGTCCACGTGTTTCTTCTACATTTCAGCACTGATACGGCTGGTGAACAGGGTTTTTCTGTGCTGGATTACGGTGTGCCGTTGGTAGCGTTGCAAACTCAGCTCCAAATAGCTGTTCAGTGAGGGAGCAGGCTGGCCAGGTGATGCCCAGTGCCAATGTGGTGGGTGACTTTGCCATTGGCTTAGCGTTGGGTGCTTTTGGCAGCTGGATGGCTCAGGGTGCTGGAGGATGTAGCTGAAATCCTTGCTTCATGCTTAGAGATACTCGGTGGTGCCAGGGATGTGCCACCAACAGTGCCACAACGTGGCTCGGCAGGATGGGACCGAAGGGGCCCTCCTGGTGCGTGTGGGAGCTCTGCAGTGATTGCAGCGGGCACAGGACATTCTGCTCTAAGGCCAAGTGTCTGCCTCCTGGGTTTTGAGCAGTTTCTCTGTTTTCTTTGCTCTGGAAAAATTATTCTCTGAGCTCATGGGACAACTGGTCTGGAGAGTCGAGAGCTGCTGGTCCTTTTCTGCATGGATTGACCTCAGCTCCAGGATATAAAGCATAAAAAAGCGTCTCTGTAAAAGATGTTGTTTTCTCAAGTTGTGGAATCTGATGTACTTCCTGGGATGTTGTTTGTGGGACTGGCCTGGACCTGCCTAAAGGGGTCCTTGCAGCCAGCTGGTCCGATTGCAAAAGCAAGTCCGGCCGGGAAGCAGCAGTGGATGCTGCAGGGCTGAGGTTTGGAAAGCTGTTGCTCCGTTAATCCTGTCCAGATAAAGGCTTGCCAAGCGGCTCCTAAGTCCTCCCTGTGGAGCTGGACAGGGGAGGCTACAGGAGGATAAAGGCACAGATGTGTTGGGATGCTCCTCCCTGGGGATCCCTGAACCCCATGCCCTTCTTTAGGGCTGCTGAGTGTCACCACGGCCCTTAGAACATCCCCAAAGGTGGCTGCCTGTCCTCAGGGTTGCTGTGATTTCAGCTGGGTGCAAGGAGCCAGCTCTTGCCCTGCTCACTCCCAGCAAGCTGGCTGCTTTGGAGCCAGGGAAGGTCCTTGCTGCCCACAACATCCTCCTGCCCAGGATGGACTCGAGCTCTTCAAGCCAGGGAGGCTGCAGGGGAGCAGCTCTGACCTCCCTCCTGCAGATCTGGTGCAGGCTGAGTCCACCAGCATCCCCATTCCCTGGCCCCTGAAAAAATAGCCCGGAAACGAGTGAGTGCTGACTGTGGTTTATCCTGTTCTTTTCCAGGTCAGAGCGGCTTGGGGAAATCCACGTTAATCAACACCCTCTTCAAATCCAAAATCAGCAGGAAATCTGTGCAGCCGACTTCTGAAGAGCGGATCCCCAAGACCATTGAAATCAAATCCATCACTCACGGTGAGACTCTGCAGATCCCACCTGGTGCTTTGGCTTTTGGTTCTGCTCTGCCTTGTGTCTCTAGGGGCTCATGGGGGTTGTGGACCTCTACTAAACCTCCGCTCCCTTATGTCTGAAAGGGCTTTGACCATCCAGAGATGCTTGCAGGGCTGAGAAAGCATCTGTTTTCTCTTTATCCACCAGCATTGACTTAACTATGAGGGAAGAGAACATCTGGGGTGGGGGGAGGAGGTGCATTTCAGGGCAAGTGTGATGCTTCCTCTCTTTGGAGGGCTGATTTGTGCCTCTGAGGAGCTGTGAAGGTGGGTTTCTCCTCTGGGGAGCGTCTCCAGCAGCTTTTGGGAGGGCAGGTTTGGCCCGAGCCCCCATCGATGCTTGCCTCATGCACCATCTTTCTTCTCCATTTCAGAGATTGAAGAGAAGGGGGTTCGCATGAAGCTGACAGTCATCGACACCCCGGGCTTTGGAGATCACATCAACAACGAGAACTGGTGAGCTGAGGACCGGTGTGGAGGGAAGGTGGCCAAGCCCTGTGGCATCCTGACCTGGTGCTGAGGGCCATAGCTTGGTCCTGTGCCACCCATGCTCCGTGGGGAGCTGGGGAGAGGGTTGTTGTGGGTGGCAGCACAGTGCCATGCTCCCCAGGGCATGAGACACGGACTCTGTGAGAGCCCACAAACGTCCTGCTGTTCCGGGCATGAGACAAGCTTTGTTTGTGGCCGGGAGCAGCTGTGTGCCAGCATGGCCGGTCCCCGGACCTCGCTCATGTGGCTCTGAAGGGTGAGCCCTGCCAGGAGTCCCTGGGACAGTGACTGGTTGTGCAGGATGGCCACCCCGGGCAGGGACAGGGCTGGCCTGGCTGACCGGTGGCAGGTGCCTTCTCCTCACCATGAGCTGGGCTGGGCTTTGTGGGGTTTGATGCTTCTCTCGCTCCTGTGCCATGGCGGGGTGTGAAGAGCTGAGGGACCGTCCTGCTCAGCAGTGGGTGTTTGAGTGTGGGTTGGGTCTGTTGGTTTGTTTTGTGGGATTCTGGAAGACACTGAGCATCCCCGGCTCGGCAGGCTCTGCTTCACTCAGTCAGGCTGGGTGGGAGGTTCAGGGTGGTCTAGATCCCTCTAGACGCAACCCAATGTCCCATGTACCTCCCTCTCTGCAGCTGGCAGCCCATTATGAAGTTCATCAATGACCAGTACGAGAAGTACCTGCAGGAGGAAATCAACATCAACCGGAAGAAGCGGATCCCTGACACGCGGGTGCACTGCTGTATATACTTCATCCCAGCCACCGGCCACTCGTACGTACCCTGCTCTCCTCCTTCAGACCCTCGGGCTTCCCCCTCCTGCCTTCGGTCTGGGGCAGCTCAGCTGTTGGGGTCATCCTTGGGATTCCTCTGTGCTTCTTGGCCACTTGAGGAGCTCGAGGAGAGCGTGAAGCTGTCCTTCCTAGGGCTGTAGGATCTGGAGACCTCACAATAACACAGCAGAGCTGCTGTACCCCCAAGAAATGTGGTGTTTCCTCTTCCAAGGGGCCATCAAAGCCTCCTTGAGCTCTGGTTAGCTTCTTGCTTTGCTTTGGTCACCTTGCTTGCTTGACCAAGGATGGGCACCAGCCCCTGAGCTCTCAGATTAGACAGAAAGGCTGCCTTTGTGAACGGAACATAAATTTTCTTTGCTGCGCCCCTGCCTTTGTAAGGAAAGAAACTGGTTTTCCTCCTGCTACCGAGGGAGTGAACACCCTCACCCTTTAAGGGTATTTTGTAGGTTGTTTGACTAGTCTGCAAGTGGGCTGCAGTTTATTCAGCGCAGAGCTCTCCTGGCTCTGGCACTTCTCAAGCGACAGCATCAAAGGCCCAGATCTTGCTCTATTTTTTTTTTTTTCTTTTACTTTTTTTTTTTTTTTCCTTAGGCACATAGCCCGCAGTGAAAATCTGGGGCGCTTAAAGCGTCTTGAAAAATGTGACTTAAAGTATCACAACATAAAACGAGACCTAAGTTTCCTTTTGATTTGTGTCAATGCCTTCCACTTCTGGCTCTGTCTGCGTGGGGAATTTTTTATTTTTTTTTTTTGGGTCTGTTTTCAAAAGTAAACTTGAGCTGCCAGCACTGTATTAATGTCAGCCTTTTCCTCTTCCCCATGTGGAGATTTATTCCAATAGAAAAGACTTTGTTTTGCTTCTGTCAGTGGGTAGACCAAAAATGCATCCTTCACTGGAATAAAATGACTGCCTGGGCCAGTTCTGCTCTTCTTGTGTAACCGGCTGTCGATTGGGAGCAGAGGGGCCGACGAAGCATTTATGGTTTAATACGATAAAATAGAAAATGGATCAAAGGGAGATGACATTTTTAGGCCAGTCTGGCGTGTTGGTCCCACTTATCTCCACCCCGATCTCCAGACCCTGCCGTGGCAGGTTGGGTGTTGCAGCCTTAGCTGTGCTCCAGCTTTTTCTCATCGCTTTGGGTGTTTAACCCTTAAAAGCCCCCCCCCCCCAGTGCTTGGATCCTGCAGATATTTGACCTGTGTGGAGGCTGCAGGTTTTGGGTGGTGGTGGCTGCCCTCCCGGGGCCGTGCAGGCGATGGTGTGGAGCCCCCTCCCCACATCCCCCACCGGAGCCTCTCCAGCCGAGCGCTCTGGTTTCTCTCACCCGCCGGCTAACAGCAATTGTGGGGAATTCAGCTGCTTTTTTTCTTTCTCTCCAACCAACATGTGTTTCCAATATCCGAGGGAGCCCGGCGGTTGGAGGCCGTTGTTGCTGAGCCCCGTGCTGATCCTCCTTCCCCCCACCACCCCCCCCGTAGCCTGATAGCCCGGCTGGGGCCAGCACTCCCTCCCTGGCCATGGTTTGGAGGGGGCTGCACTTTCCTGCCCCGGTGTCAGAGCCACGTGTCCCCTCCTGCCACAGGATGGAGATAAGCTGAGGAATGAGTGAAGTGGGACAAACCCCACCGGGAGGGAGAAATCGGTGGGAAATTTTGCTTCTCCAAGAGCTGGGTCAGGCATTAGGTTTCCTTTCTGCTCCCCTGTGAAGCCCAAATTACATTTCTCATCATCACGGATGGGCTTTCCCCAGCGTTGCCTGTCCGTGGACATGCCTGAACGACGTGGCCACCTCTGCTGAGGGGTGGAGCTGCTGCAGCCATGCTGGTAGCAGCGGGTCATGCTCGTTTTGGAGGACAACAGTTTGGGAGGCCGTGATATGGCGTTGTCATACAATATTAAGTGCAGGTTTCTACCCCTGCTGGGGCAGGTTGTCTGTGGTCGCACGTGGAAGGGTATGAGAAGGGCATCAAGGTCGTTGCTTTGGTGCTTCTGGCTTCACCAGGAGCTGATGGGGAGCGTGGCTGGCAAGGGCAGTGGCTTGTAATGCTGCAGGGACCTGTCCTAGGGACAACCGCTGTGGAGGACCCCTCTGTGCCCATGTGGCACTATCTGTGTGCTCCCCATGCCTCTTGCCGTCCCGGGATGCTTGGTGCCATCTGTTCTGGGATAGGACTTGCTTGGGGCTTGTTTGCATTGCCCTCACCGTGTGACACAGCCAAAGCAGTGGTGGCTGGTGTCTCTCTGTCCTACCCCACTCACATGGTCAGGCACGGCACAGGACTCAGCATCCCTCCCCTGGCATGGGCAGGGGCTTCCCAGGGCTAAGCCTACTGGGTCGCTGGGTGAGACCTTGCTGTTTTCTTAATTAAAAGGGGATGAAGACGGAAAAAAGCGAAGTTAACCAAGTGCACAGATTGAGAGGCCGGAGTGGAAGGTTGCTCGGCTCCATTTCATTCTGGGTAGCTCGAGCGTTAATCAGCGGATTAAATCACATTGCTGCTGCCCTCTCCCTTTGCAGGGAGTTCAGGGCAGGCTTTGCAACCTATCTGGTTTGCACACACCCTGTCTTTCTTGTAACACTCCCGCAAAGCCATGTTTGTGAAGGCTAAGTAATGTGCTGGCAGGGGCTTTTGGCTGCAGTCGTGCGAGCCCTGCTCTTTGCCACCCCATAAATATCTCGGCTCTGACCCCTGTGAAGCGCCGCTCGGCTCCACAACAGCAACTCTGAAACACCACCCGGCCTCAGCACCCCCTTCTCTGCGTGTACCAGAGCTGCTGGCAGCCAGAATGCCACCCACTGCCACTTCCCCCACAATCTGCCCCTCTCGGGTGCCCGTGGGGTCCCTGGAGCTGGTGGGTCCTGGTGATGGGGCTGGGCGGCTGCTGGGCGCTCCCTGGTATTTGCTGAACGCACGGCTCGAATTCTTGCCCTGAGTTTGATCTGGGGCACAACCAAAAGGAAATAACTTTGCAGCTCGCCGTGAATTTTGATTCCTGTAATGGCATTTCGAGGGAACCAGCAGGAATGAGCCCCTGCTTTGGTCCTGGCTGTGCGTGGTGGCTGCGGGCAGTGCAGGAATAACGTGTGCCCAGCCACGATAACGTGTGCCAGCCACCACAACGTGTGCCCAGACGTGATAATGGGTCCCCAGCTGCTCTGTTTTCCCCAGCCCCATAGCAAGAGGGGATGGGGGAGCAACCAGAACTGGCTGGGGTGAGCTGGAGCCTTTCCTTCAGCTCCTGCTCCAGTCCATTCACTCCCCTTAGGGCTTCTCCACCCGCTCCCAGCAAAGCACAAAGTGTGTATGTGTGTAGATGCAAGTTTATAATGTCAGGGACCATTTGGGGAGGGAAAAAAAAACCAGATGCTTTTTCTTCTGGAGCTTTACCTTCTCTTTTGTGATGTGCTTGGAGCAGATTGTGCACACAGGCAATGGAATAACTCGCTTTCTCTTGCTGTTTTGTGTATTTGTGTATATAAGGCTTTCACTGCTAATCCTTGCCAGGTGCTGGCATCGATGGTTTGTGCAGATGAATCAAGTTCAGATGCCCAGCGGTGGCCAGCACTGCTGTCCTATGGCTTATCATGGGGTGGTGGTGGCTAATGACCAAAACTGGTCCCTGCAGGTACCAGCAGAAGTCCCTGCTGATCTGGGCTTGCTCCATCGTGACCTTGGCCATGTCTGCCTGGGACTGTATGGGGCTATTAGTGCAAATCAAGCTCTTTGCACTCGTGATGACCTTAAGCCATTTATTTTCCTTTGGTGTCTTCACATGAACGTGACAGATAGCATCTTGTTCTTAGTGAAAAGAATCACTTTCTTTTAAATACTTAGGGATTTTGTGGGCTACACGGCAGGAAGTGGTAAAATATCTAGAAACTTGCAAAATACCCTAAAAAAAATACAGTTGCTTTGCTGGGGAGTCCTTGGTTCCTTTCCTGTTCTCCAGCATGGTGCAAGGAGGTGACCTTCACGGACAAGGCACTTGCAGAACCCGGTCGGAGCAGAAAGTGGTGTCAAAGATGCTTTGGGTTCTTAAGGCTTTGGGTGCAGCCTGGTGTGGGACACGCTCACTGTGCCTGTCAGTCACACTGAAACTCAAATGTCTGGCTGATTGTGAATTCATCTGCATCGGCTCCATATGCATCCCGGTCTTCACTCTAAAAGAAAAGCTGATGAAAGAGGCAGGAACACAGTCTCAGTAGGGGAGAGGCTTTTAGAGGGGGAAAATTGTTTGAAAAATAGCAAAGAGAGAGGAGGGGAAAGAAATCTACTGGGAAAGGAGCATAACTGCATTACTTCCTTGGAGGTCTGGGAAATACATTATGCAGAGCTCCAAACAATGTTTGCCAGCAGCAAGTCTGCTTAGATGTGTCCATGGGGGTTTCCTTCCTTGTGTTTTTTTTGTTTCTTTTCTCTTTTTTTTTTTTTTTTTTTTTATTCCAACCTTTTCCAGCTGAAGGCACATTCATACTTGAATTAAAAACCTTCAATAGCTTTTTTTTTTTTTTTTTTTTTTTTTTTAATTGCCAAACTCTTTCTTTCCTGGGGCCCAGAGTGATCTGTGACTCCTGAGTTTGTGTTAGGAACTCGTTTGTCCGCACGCTAACGATGTGCTCTGGGCTATGTGTGCGAGGAGAAGGTCCATCTGGCATGGTCCAGCCTGATCCCTTGTAGAGGGGTGGGTTTGACCAAGGGAGGGCTGGGCTGGGTCACCAGTGCTGGCTGTGCCAGAGCAGCCTCAAGCTGCTGTTTTTGGATCAGCCAGAGTCTCTCCGGGGGTGGACATCATCCCTCCCTTGGCATGGAACTGGGTAGGGGTTGCCTTGTGGGGTGAGGACATTGCTTGGTGGCTGCCAAGGAGCAGGGTCAGCCCCTTCCCCTTCGTACTCCTGGGACTCTTGCTGGATTTGCAGGAGCTGTGCTGGGTCTGCGGGGTCTCTGAGCCCTTCGTAGGGCCTGAGAAGACCATGGTGGGATTTGGCTTGAGTGTGTTGAGAGTAGGGTGCTTTCTTGGCCACATTCTCCCTGAGTGCTGTGCTCTGCTCCGTGCTCCCCCACGCTAAGTCACCATCATATTTATTTTGGTTTCTTCCCTGTTGCCATGGGCCTCTGTTTTGTGGCACAGGGCTGGTCTGCCCTTGGGGAGGTCTCATTCTTGGCCCCATATTTGCCACTGGAGCCTATGGGTGCTCCAAAAGGTGACTTCACCTCTCTCTGTCCCAGTTTCACCAAAGATGAGTTGAGTTGTATCCTGCTGGCACGTGCCACCACCAGAGGTCTTGAGGATGTAGGAGCAGCAGAGGTGTCCCTTTGCTTTTGTGGCTCAGTTGACCTTCCTGCCTCAGCAGTAAAAACACCTTCAGGGAGGACTGTGGAGAGAGGAAGGGTCATGGCCAGGTGCCCTCATCGCTATCTACAGCCCTGAGACACAGAGCAGGTGGCACTGGGGGTCACCTCTGCGCTGTCAGCAGGAGCATTTAGCAGGGAGAGATTTCCCTGGGGGCTGATGGTTGGGGTTATGCAATCTCTGCAGCTTTCCTCTGCTGAGACTTCCGTCAGAGAGATTTTTCTGACATTTTGCCCTCTGGACCGAGCAGCATCTCCGCTGTGCCGCGTGAGCCCCTGGAGAATTAGCAGAGACTTTTTTTAATCACAGCTGATGGATGCAAGATGCGATCCTAGCTCGTGCTCGGTGCAGGAGGGAGTGTGAGCAGGAGTAGTCACCTGTGGCCGTGTCCATGTTGTGTGATGGGTGACTTGGGTGACAGCTTGGATAGGGCTGGAGGAGGTTTCACAACGTGATCTCTCCCCAGCTTTATTCGTACATCGCAGGCGGGTTGGCCTCGCAGCCACCATCACCCGTGCTCTCCTCCTGGCTTTGCCAAGGACACGTGTAGCTTTGGGCAAGTTCCTGCAGCCCTCTGTGGCCAAACATCCGTGCAGAGATAAAAGTCCTCTCCCACTTTATGGGGCTTTGCGAGGGTTCACAGGCAATAGTGGGGCGCTTTGAAAGGGAAATGTTTTAAGTGTTTGTCTGCCAACCTCCTCTGGGATGGATGCGTGCTGATGTGCTTTTAAGAAGATGTCTTTATTTGTCCTATCTGAAAGGAAGTGATTCCCCCTCTGTGTCTAGTCTTTGAGTGCCCCCTCTCTGCTGGGGGATTGCAGCAGCCCCCGCCTCGCTGGAGTGTGGGAATGCCTTGATGGGATGAGGGGTAAGATGGGATGAGGGGTAAGATGGGATGAGGGGTAATGGCTTCGATCTGGAGGAGGGTTCATTTAGATGAGATCTCGGGAAGAAATTCTTTGCTCTGAGGGTGGTGAGAGCCTGGCCCAGGTTGCCCCAAGAAGTTGTGGCTGCCCCATCCCTGGAGGGGTTCAAGGCCAGGCTGGATGGGGCTTTGGAGCAACCTGGTCTGGTGGGAGGTGTCCCTGCCCAGGGTAGGGGGACTGGAGCGGGATGATCTTTAAGGTCCCTTCCAACCCGAACCATTCTATGATTCTACGATCCCCTTTCTCCTGCTGTATTTTTCAGGCTCCGACCGCTAGACATCGAGTTCATGAAACGCCTGAGCAAAGTGGTCAACATCGTCCCCGTGATTGCAAAAGCCGACACGTTAACGCTGGAGGAGAGGGACTACTTCAAACAAAGGGTAAGGGGCCGGTGGCTCTTATCTGGGCTCCCATCTCTTGTCCCCCATCCCCTCCTGCCCCTTTCCCCCCCTCCCCGGCAGGGCTGGGAGGCGATGCCTGGCCGGGAGCCCAGCGCATTCCTCCGGCTGCAGCTCTGAGCGATCCCACGTGGCTGGAGGGAAAGGCCTGCTCTCCAAGCAGTTCCTTGTGTTTCTCTTGGATCTTTGTCAGTGCAGGATAAGTTTCGAGCTTTAAGTCTCGGGGCCTGTTTCTCCTGCCTCCTTTGTTATTGTTATTTTCAAGGCTGGTTTCTCTTATTTTGGGAGGTAGGACGGTGCTGCACGTAGGAGGCTGGAAAACCCATCCTGTGCAGCATCATGCACTGATAAAGGAACCAGGCAAAAAAAGGCGTGGGTTTGAGCTCAGCTGGGCAGGATTTATGGGGGAAGAAAGGCATGAAATTCCCGTGGTGGGGAGCTGAGGAGGAGCTGTCTCAGTCCACAGCAAGGCATGGGCTTTCCTCCGTGCACGCACACCTGGTGCAGAGCGAGTGAGCCACGCTGTCTCCCCATGGTCTTTCGTTACCCAGGGCTGGCATCAGCAGTCGAAAATGCCCAGGTGACATTTTAGGTCCCAGACTGACTTTGTAGTTCCGGAGCTGACCAGCCACCCAGATACATGCACACGTAACCTCTGCAACTTCTTCACTTTGGGTTTCGTGCCTGGCAGCTCCATTCCCCGTTGCTCGGTGCAGTTTGTGTTGTCTCATTGTCTTTTTCAATCCCAAAGCAACACCCAGCTCATGTAACTTCACCTCACTCTCAGCCTGAACCACCGTGTCTTGGCACCAGGTTCTTGCAGAGATTCCAGGGCAAGCGCTCGATAGGTGTGTAGGAGTTAAACACAGGTCTCTCTCCCCAAGGTGGGCAGTGTTTAGGATGGAGAGGGAAGATGTTGCTGCTGGGCATGGCTCACAAGAGCCTCTTGGGTCAGCTGGGACCTGTCCCCAAGGTGGGCAGTGTTTAGGATGGAGAGGGAAGACGTTGCTGCTGGGCATGGCTCATGAGAGCTTCTTGGGTCAGCTGGGACCTGTCGCTGTGGTGGAAGTGCAGCTCCTCTGCCCGTGTCTTCCTTCACATGGTCTTCTGCTCTTCTCCTAGATAATGGCCGATCTTCTTGCCAACGGCATCGACGTGTATCCTCAGAAGGAGTTTGATGAGGACTCTGAAGATCGGCTAGTGAATGAGAAATTCAGGGTTAGTGTGTGGTGGTGTGGGTTGGATGGTGCTTGGATGGGCCCTGCGGCTCCGGGTGCTGGTGATGGCCTGGACAGTCTCTGGCAAAGTGATTCTATTTTCTTTCCGAAGCTGCTGTGCCTCAGTCCGAGGGGTCTGCCAGCTTGATTTCCTGACCGGTTTTCAGGAGGAAAACATAACCTTTTTTTTTCCTCTTTCCTCAGGAAATGATCCCATTTGCAGTGGTGGGCAGTGACCAGGAGTACCAGGTTAATGGAAGAAGAATCCTTGGAAGGAAGACCAAGTGGGGCACCATTGAAGGTACCTTGTCCTTGTTTCCCTACCTCCTGAGCCCATCTCCCTGCCCCAACAGAAGGTGATGAGGTCCAAAACGAGCAGTAGAAGTCTAGGTGTATGTGATGCTTCCCCGCCCCTCCAAAGAAAATCACTTCCCTGGTGTTTGGGGACTGAAAATACCTCGGGCAATGCTCCTGCACCGTGTTCCTGGGCCTTTTGTGTGACTTGGGAAGCTGTTGAGTGCCAGAGGGGACACTCCTGGGTGTCTTGTCATCCTCCTTGGCCTGGCTTCTGCTGGTTGCACAGTGAAACACCTAATGTCTGGATCTGAGGGCACAGGAGTGCAGTGCTGATGTCCCTGCCTCGAGCCCAGATTAGAGCCTGTCCCCGGCATCTGTAGGTCTTTGCACCCTCCACCAAACATTTGGCTGGTGCCCTGGTGGGATCTCTTATTTCTTCCATCTTCATCCTGTCAGCATCTTCCTTTTTTATCCCCCATTTTAAGTCGTGGTTTTAAGGCTAGATGAAGGCTCCTGGCTGTAGTGCATCTACACGTTTCCCTGTCCCGGACAGCCAACTGGCATGTCTCCAGTGCCACCCGCCTTATCTTCCTCCCCTTCATATCATAGGTTCCTCTCATTTATGAGTCTTTTTAATGGGAATCCTGTGTTGAGGGACGGCTTAACAAAGATGCCAGGAAAATCAGTGTATTTTAAAGCTCTGCTGCCCTCTTGTGCTCCGTCCTTGGAAGCTCTGAGTTTAATGGGGCTCATTAAATTGCTCACCTTCTGCATGTGGCATCTGCCTTCAGCACGGGGAGAACCCAGGACCCAACCATGGCCTGTTTGGGTGAAAAAAAAATTTTAAATGGAGTTGATCCTACAAATTCATATGCCTAGTAAACTGTGAGCTGGCAGACTAATTGTGCTGGATCAACTGCCCTTGATTTTTCCGTCTTGTGGACAGTCTTGCTTGCCCTGAGCCCTCTTCAGACAGCAAGAACCTTTGTCAGCAAGAGATTGTGTCCTTCCACAACACCGGCAGCAGAGTCACTGGTGTGACTGGGATGTTACAGGATGCTCGTGGTGAAGCTGTAGACTAGACACTTGTGTGGAGCTGTGCCCAGCACTCACTGCAAAGCTCACCATGTCCCTTTTGCTGCCTTGTCTGGTGCCCAATTAAGCTTGTATTGGTCCAAAGCAAGGGGGATTGAGTCAGGAGATGCTGCTGGGAGCTTCCTCGTTTGGTGGGAGATGGTGGGAAGGGACTAGGAATGCTCAGTCAGACCTCACCAGCCAGTTGGTCTTGCTGAGCTGGGGCAGACACCTGGGTAAATCACAGCAAAGAGGACTCTTGAGTCCTGCACCCACAGCCCCTGAGGGTAAGTGCTCCTCTCAGCCCTCCACACACTGGTGAAGCCCCGTAGGGTCCTCCTTACCCCGAGTGGTTGCCATACTCCTGCCGTGGGTGCACGCTGATGGGTTTCTCTCTTTTCCTGCCAGTGGAGAACACGACACACTGTGAGTTCGCCTACCTGCGGGACCTCCTCATCAGGTTGGTAGGACCATGCCCTGTCCCTGTAGCCTTTGGTCACCAGGTGGCATCCGAAGAAAGGGAAGGGTCCAGCCCGGCATGAAGCAGCTGCTGCTTTGCTCATCCATCCATCTGTCCCTCCGACCCTCCCAGCCTGCTGCAGTGCTGCAGCCCCTCTGTGAAGGGTGGTCCCATGTGATGGGACACGGCTTCGGAGGGCTTTTCTCAGCTGCAGTGCTGAGATAAGGGGGGAGAGGAGCAGTGGATGGGTCAGGACAGACCCTGAGCTTGCTGGCAGTGTGTGGTGTGGCTCCAGCTCACCTGCAAGCAAGCTGGGAAGCTTTTTGGCCTTAGTGATCCTTCAACAGACCTGGGTCCTACCTCCAGTCCCCAAAAATCTCCTGCATTCCAGGATCGTGCTGTTGGGGATTCTGGGTGATCACTAGTCCCTCTTGAAAGAGTTGTCCCAGCTGCAGGGCAATGGGAGGCTGAGCCCCCTTGGCTTGCTGGAGGGGATATTGGACTCCTCCTAAATTTGGCTGCAGGATAAACTCAGTGCATCTGAGCTGTCACTGGGTGGACCTTCAAAACCTGACCCCGGGGACTTGCTGGACCAGGGCCTTCCCAGTGAAGGCTTCTAGGTACTTCTGGTCCATGGCCACCCGTAATTGTCTTTACTTCCCTCCTGTGCCCTAAATATGTTGTTAGCCAGTAAAGCAGGAGGAGAAATTTAGTCTGGAAGGGGGTGTTTGAAAGCAGAGGTTGGGGGTGCAGGAGCTGGGGGGGTGGCAGAGGCTGGGCTGGGCTGGCTGAACCCGTGCCCAGCGAGGTGCCATCATCATCCCCGTCTCCCTTTCCTGCAGGACGCACATGCAGAACATCAAGGATATTACCAGCAACATCCACTTCGAAGCCTACAGGGTCAAGAGGCTGAACGAGGGCCAGAGCTCGCTCTCCAACGGCGTGACCGACAAAGAGCTGGTGGCTAACGAAATGTAACCGTCTCGCTCCGTAGCCAGGACCTTGCTCGCTCACGCTCGCTATTTCTCCCCTCTTCCCCCTTTATTTTTATATAAATCCTCTGCCACTCTCCCTCTTCCCACCCCCCCCAGCCCCCTGCCAATGTTAACTGACCAAATAACCAGACGCCGTCTCTGTCGTGCGGAGCGGGGCGACCGCTCATCCCCCCCCCCAACACCCCCTTGTTTTGTGACCTGAGTTTTCTTCTCAGCCCTTGGTCCAGCATCCCTGGGCCGGGGACTGTTTCCCCCCACGGAGGTCGGGCTCTCACTGGCCCCCAGCGCTGGCCCGATAGCCGAGCTTGGGGGGGGAGCAGATCCGTGGGGCCAGCAGGGTTGGGGTCCTCCTGGGAGCCCTGCCTGCCCCCTCTGTGCAGAGGTTCTTCTCCGTCCGATGAAGGCAAGGGTTCCTCCAGGAGAACGTAGCCTTCAGAAGCAAGGTACGGTGGTGTGAAGAGAGCAAGAAGGTGCCATCCTTGTCTCCTGCCGCCTCCTCTGAGCCCTCTGCAGCCCTCTGGCACCCGCCAGCCCCCAACCCAACCCCTCTACCTTGCCTACATGCAATAAACTGGGAGTGTTTAGGTGTCACCTCGCCTGTCACCGACCTCCGGCCAGGCAGAGCGACCTGCTTTGGGAGAAGTGCCTTTTCAGACTGTTACCTTGCAATAGCGTTGGGAGAGGGGAGGGTGGGGGGCTTGCCTTGTCTGTCTTTGCACCCTGCGAAGGCCTGTGACACGTTGTAGAGACTCCTTTTCCCTCTCCCTTGGACCATAGATGTGGCGATGTCCTGGGAACACTTGTATATTTATTTTTCATACGGTTGGGTGGGTTTTTTTCCGCTGAAGGCTCGGAGTGTGTTTGTCCGAAGGGGGCTGAGAGTGGAACGTCTCTGCAAAGCGGTGGTGGGAGGCGGAGGGTTGTCCTGTCTGACCCTTGTGATTCTTGGGCTTTTCCCTACGTCAGAGGAGGCTGTTGGGTATTTTTTTAATTATTTTTGTTTGGTTTTTTTTTTTTTTATTATTTTTCGCATCCCCCTGTGTGACGTGTGTAGGTGTAACATGCTCCTCTGTGTCGCTAGTCCTTGTGCGAGGGGACTGTGCATGTGCGGACCGAGCCCCGCAGCCGTGGGGAGGGCTGGGGTGGCATCTGTGGGTGCTGTGCCCTGTGGCCCCCTCTTCTCTACCCTTCCACGCCTCCTTTTTCAACATGACCCTGCAAGGGGGGGGTCAGTTAAATAACGCCGTGACGCAGGAGCGGGTGGTCCTGGAGCAGAGCTTTGCAGTCCTGCCCCCCACCCCTGCTCCTCTTGTCTTTGTTGTCCACTCTGTCAGTCTCCGTGTCTTCTCTAAGGGATAAAACTTTCTGCAAATCACCCTATTTTTTTGGGGGGGAGGGCACATACTAAAATGGCAGCGTGTCCCATCCTCTAGCGCTGGAAGGCACCTGCAGAGCCCACCCCGTGGTCTCCACGATGGGCAAAGCCACCTTCTTCAGCACAGGTGACCAGGAGGAAGGAGGAGGTTGCTCTCATCATGGTGGGGACACCCAGATGACATTGCTCAGTGGAGGTTTTGCAGGGGGTCCCCACACATGTGTCGTCCCCCCCCCACAGCCAAAGGTGGGTGCATCACAAGGAGAATCCTCTCTCCCCTCCTTAAATCATGTTTCCCTCCCCACCACAGCACGATGGAGCTGTTGGGGAAGAACAATTATCTACTTGCTGACTTGCTATATTTTAGCAAAAACAACCCCCCCCAAAAAAGTGTATTAACTAAGAAAATATATATATTTCAAGTGTTAAAAAAAGACTGAAAGGGGAGAAAAATCTCTTGGGTGAGGCACTTCTGCAAATGTCATCTTAAACTTTTTTTTTTTTCCTCTATTCAAGCTGGGCCAAGCAAGACACGCCGCTTTCTCCTTTGTAACCTGATTTTTATTTTTTTTTTTTGGAAGGAAAAAGAAGAAAATAATACAATAAAAAAACCTTCATCCAGATCTATTAAAATGGCCTTTTGGGGGTTATAAGCATTATGACAAATTTAGCCCATTTTTGTATAAATAATAGTGTTTAATATGTATTTCCCAAAATAAATGTTTCGAATGCAAATAGAAGGAGGTCTCTTTGGAAGTGTCTGTTCCCATCCATGGTGAGATGGTTACTGCATGGACCCTGCAGGTGATGGGAGAGTCCCGCTCCGGAGCTGCTGATTTTCTGCTCACTTTGGGGTGAAGGTTTGATTTATTGCCAACCCCCTTGGCTCTTCCTACCTCAGATCTGCCCCAGGTACTCCACAAAACGCTGGAGCTGCTGGTGCTGAGCACCCCAAGGACCGAGCCAGCACGGTCTCATGTGTCCTTGCAGATCTCCAGGGATGCAGGTGGGTTCTCTCCATCTGCTTTCATGATGAACTGTTTCCACTGCAGTTGCTGGTATTTTTATCAAGAAGTGGGTTGCACCCAGTTCAAGGCCAGACAGCAGCTTGCAGGTCACACAAACGTGGCTTTGGCTTTGCTGGCAGATGGTCTTCTAAACCTTTTGAGACTGCAGGGATGCTCTTGGAAGTTGGCTTCACTTTGAAGACTCACCTTCCTGAAAACAACATTTCTGTGTGGTGTCACAGACAAGGCACCATCCAGTCTGGTGTTTTAATCCGTATCTTACATGTCTAGTGTATTTTTTTCCCCCCAAGCCAGGTGAACTCCAAAGCTGTCTGGACATGGTCCTGGAGAGCTATCTTTAGGTGGCCCTGCTTGAGGGTTGGACCAGATGGCCTCCAGAGGTCCTGTCCAACCCCAACCCCTCTGGGATTCTGTGGCTCTGGAATTGTGTGAAAACAAAGCCAACAGGACAGAAGTTGGGTTGGGTTGGATTCCTGTGGGTGTGTAGAGCACAGGACAGGCTTATCTACATTTTTCTGCTGGCCCAGAGATTTCAGAGCAGTGAATCGGCTCATCTTGTACGGCATCCAGTGAGGTGTGCTGTAAAGTTTGTTGATGGGCCACCTTTGCCACAATGCAACCCCTGCAATATCCTTTTTTTTTGGTGCTGTGAGGGTTGGACCAGATGGCCTCCAGAGGTCCTGTCCAACCTCAACCCCTCTGGGATTCTGTGGCTCTGGAACTGTGTGAAAACAAAGCCAACAGGACAGAAGTTGGGTTGGGTTGGATTCCTGTGGGTGTGTAGAGCACAGGACAGGCTTATCTACATTTTTCTGCTGGCCCAGAGATTTCAGAGCAGTGAATCGGCTCATCTTGTACGGCATCCAGTGAGGTGTGCTGTAAAGTTTGTTGATGGGCCACCTTTGCCACAATGCAACCCCTGCAATATCCTTTTTTTTTGGTGCTGTACTGCATTTTCATAGTCGCTTTAGCTCAGACACTCCTCACCCCCACAGCTCCTCTCTACCAAATGAGTCTATGGTGGAGAAACTGAGATCAAGGTGTTCTCACTATTGTAACCAGAGCAAGACTCAGAGCAAAAGCTCTTAGAGGGGGAAAAAAACCCAACATGTGGTTGTGATAATTCCAAACATGGGCCGTGGGCTTTGCCTCTGGACAAATCTGCAGCAGCATTTCCCTGTATGGTGGGGGGTTTTGTGCTGGTATCTGGGTTTTTTGCAGCTTTTCTCAATGCTGCGTCTGACTGTGCCCGTGGAGGGAGGTGGCCAGAGGATGCTGCGGGGCTCTCCAGGCAGATGCTCTCCTGGTGACAGATTGAGAAACGGTTTGTGGCCGGGGTGAGGGGACGGCAGGCCAAATTCCCGAGCTCAGCAATAAGGGCAGCTTTTGTTTAGCCCAGAGGAGGAGCTCGGCGGGTCGGAGGTCCCTTCATGAGAATGGTGCAGGGAATGGCTTCCAGATGTTATGAAGCTCCGGAGAGGTGGGGTTGGCGAAGGGAGAGCAGTAACACCAGATGCTGGGATGGAGCAGGGGGTTGTGTGGTGCTAGGGGAAAATCCCAGCTGGGGGAAGGGGTTTGCTACTGCAAAATCCCCCCTCCTCTCCCCAGAGCCTCGACTGAAGGGCAGGGACATCCCGGGAGGGGGTGGATGGGGAGGGTCTGGGCAGCGGAGGAGGCAGGGAAGGGGCTGCTTGCCCTGCCCGAGCTGTCTAGAAGGGAAATTTGCCTAATGATGCTGTAGCTGACAGAAAGGGCCTTGCACTAATGGCTTATTGAGTGGCCTCACTTTAACAAATGAGGGAAATGAAGATGAGTGAGAGTTTAATTACTGATCGGAGCAGGGCTTTCCATGGCGACAACGACGGGCGCTTGCTCCCCTTCTCCAGGCTGTGGGAGGGAGAGGAGGAGCCCCCCAGCACAGCCAGGCTCTCGGGTGCCTGGTGGCATTGGAGGAGATGGCAGCTTGGCCAGGCTGGGCTGGAGGTAGGTCCCAGTTCCACCTGACCAGCCCAACCCAGAGCCCATCACCCTCCAAAGAGGATGACTATAAATAATAAGAATAAAAGGGAGTATAAATAATTAAAGCAGCTCATAGTGAGTAGTTCCTGAAACGTCTGCCTGATTTAAAAACTAATTACTTGGAGGGTAATCACCACCAGAAGCGCACGCATTTACCCACAATGCTGCTCTTCCCTCTTCTTCCTTTCTCTCGCCCTCTCCTGATTGCTCTCCCCGGCATCGGCACCCAGACTTATCACTCATCCGCAGCACACAATAAACTGTGTTCTACTCGTCCATCTCCCTGATTAATAACGTCATTGGAGACCTGTTCAGGGAAGAATAAATTCTCCCCGGGTAGGAGGCCAGGTGCTGGCAGGAGGGGAAGCTGTGGCTGCGTGGTACCCACAGAGCTTCAGCCCTGCGAGCTGGGAGCCCGCTCTGCCCCACAGGGTCACCCCCTGCTCCAGGGACAGTCCCTTTGGATGGGATGGTCCCTTTGGAAGAGCCTGTGCTACCCAAAAAGCAGGGCACCGCCGAGTCACCACGAGCCCAGAATGCCCGGTGGGGGGATGCGTTATCACCTGCTCAGTATGAGCTGCTGTTAAGAGAATTTTCCAGATCATCACTCTTGCACGCTGGCCCGTAGTGCTCATCAAAACCTGAATTGGGTGACGTGGGACCTGTCCTCACGGGAAACATCTCCTTTTGATGTGCAAGCCGGGCTGCAGCAGGAATCGTCAGAGCTGGCGATCTCAAGCTTTAATTACTGAGAAGCTGCTGCACTGCAGTTGAAAGCCTGTGGGTTTTTTGATCATCTTCATGATGGCTCCAGCTGAAAGGAGGATTTGTCCCTCCATTTCCACCCCTGTGCCACCTCCTTTGTGCCACTTCAGTCACACAGGGCGCTGGCCCCAGCCCACCAGCTCCTTCTCAAAACCACAGCACAAACTTTCCTTCCATGCCCAGAACAAGTTGAAGTTTGCCAGTCTTTGCTACAGTTTGGCTTGTGTTTATCTGGCTGAGCTTGTGTCTGATCCTATGCAAATTAATATATAATTCTCACCATCAGCCTGATTTAGGAGCAGCATCGCGCTGCATTGCTTCATTTAGGAAAACAGAATAATTTATTCCTAACTTATGGGATTCAGGAGACTTCCACCCCGCAGCCCACGATATTTTCTCATTAACATTACCCAGCTAAGCTAAAAACTGCAATTTCATAAGTCATGCTTCCTTCAAAGGCACATTACCAGCTTCCCAGGGACTCCAAAAGTTTACTGAAGCTTAAAGACATACCTCATAGCATGCAGTAATGTACCAAAGTCCCTCTTCTTATTACTACCGAAACCATCTTTTCTGCAAGTTTCCCTCCCCTGAACTATTCCCATCAGAAATAGCCCTGCAGGGATGGTGCCGCGTGCCCTGCCCGGGGGCTGGCGGTGCCAGGAGTCCTGACCAAACCCTTACAAACAGCAGCATGACATGACACCTCTGTCATTACAATCACCCCTGCGCTAACGAACCGGTGCACCAGAGCCAGAGCCTCGTAGTCAGTGGAATTCCCAGCAGCAGAATATGTTGTAGACGTGTGTGTGCAACACCAAGGCAGGTTTAAGTGAGTGATCTTGTGTAAAAGAAGAATACCGTGAAATGGCTCTTTATCAAGAAGGCAAATAGAGGACAATATTTAGCAGGAAAACAGAAGGAAGGAAGTTGCTGTGTAAAGGAGTTTGTAGCTTTGCCCTCGGGGCTCAGCCTGGGCTGCTGCACACCCATCTCTTGGGCAAATCGCCCCAGGGTCCTGCGTGGCTGCAGCTGGTCCTGTGTGGGCAAGAGCACTGGCTGTGCCTGCTGAAAGAAGGAGATAAGGCTCACAAAGATTTTATGGGGACTATCGGGCTGCTGCACACCCATCTCTTGGGCAAATCATGGCTGCGGCTGGTCCTGTGCGGGCACGAGCACTGGCTGTGCCTGCTGAAAGAGGGAGATGAGGTTCACAAAGATTTTATGGGGACTATCAGGGTCTGATGGGGTGGACCCCGCAGTTCCCAAGGTAAGAGGCCCCCAGCACATCGTCCCCAGCAGCCCACAGCAAGAAGCCAGTGCTCAGTGCCCACCTCCCTTTCCTGCAACACCTCCAGGAGAGCGGATGCGGTTTTTCACAGCCTGCCCTGCAGAAACCTCCTCGCTCCTGCAGGTCTTTCACCCCAGGATGCCTCGGGCTCAGTCTGGCTGCAGGATGGTGGACAGACCTTCTAGGGGGCTTTCACCCCCTCAACAGCCAGCAGGAATCACTGCTCCGCTGGAGCTCCGAGCGGCAGCAGTAAGACCTGATTTCAGGAGAAGACAAGCCCATAGGAAGACTGATATCTTTTGTCCTTTATCCTCCCCTCTGGGGCTTCTCTGAAAACCACATAAGCCAAAACGTTTCATTTTTGTAGTTTTTTTAGTGCTGGGGACCACCCGCAGTGACAGTGTGGGATGGAGGGGCTGGGATACAGAGAGATGGATGATTGTGTGTGAGTGCCTTGTCACAAAGAATCATCAAGACCCATGGTTTACCAGTTATTTTAATCCGTATACCATTTTTAAAGGTGGCTTGTTGTTTGGCTTTGGTTTTTGTTTTCAAGTCACAGCTGAAAGCTCTTGCTGGCAAAGTTCACAGAGCTCATTTGGTTTTTTAAGGTAAAAATTGTAGCCTTTTAAGAACT